TGAGTTTCCATGAACTTGGTTCAGCTGTCTCTGTAGATTTCTCCATCATCATCTTGACCTCCCTTGCTCATATATTCCTTCCTCTCTCACTTCAACTGGATTCCTGGAGCTAGGCATGGTTCTTGGCTGCGAATTTCTGTGTCTGGTTCCATCAAGTACTAGATGAAGGCTCTGTGACGATAGTTGGGATGTTGGGGCTCATAAGGCAGTTCAGGTGAGCTGTAGGTCGAGTCCTCTTCTAGCCCAGGCAGGCACACCAGCACTGTAGGATTAGTAGCCTGAGCCTGCAGCCTTCCATCCACATCTTGCTCAACTGCAGGCTTAGTGGGCCAATGACAGCTACCTTAGCCTGGTTCTTCTTGGCTTTTGGGCCTTTGGTGGAGTTACAACTACCAGTGCCTCTCCCTGTTGGAGAGGAAAGCTCTGTACCTGCTGTACTGGACCTTGTAGCATGGATTTTTTTGTTTTGTTTTGTTTTTCTATCAAAGAAGAATCTAAAATTCCAGTTAAGGAAATGTTCATAGATCATTGGTATCTGCCCTAGCTCAGCATCAGGGTTGTGTCCCTACCCACCGTGGCTCATTGCGCCAACAGTATCTCTTCTTTGAGTTCCACAGTGTTCCAGAAAACCTGCTTCTTGTCTAAGTGAAGTATATGTTTTTAACTTTCAGAAAAAAGATTACTTTGTGATACAATTATACTCTCAATATTGGACTTAGATTCGTCCATATCCTAAGTACCTCGCTTTCAACAGGTAGACCTATCCCATCCTATGGGTGAGCTTTAAGCGGGCAGACCTACCCCAACCTATAGGCGAGCTTGAAGCGGGCAGACCTGCCCATCCTGTAGGCGAGGAAGCTGAAGCTCCCAGGGCAACTTAGTGTGACTGAAGATGTGTCATTTTAGCAAGAAAATTTCCGACTCTTTCGGGGCCTATCTCAGTATTTGACTGGAGTAATGAGTCCAACTTAATACATTTTCAAAATCTTTTAAAACCTTTTTCCTTCCTCAGATAACATCTTTGTGCCCAACAAGAATGGATTCTATTGTCACTCCCAGACAAGTTTGGACAGAACCCAAATGGACCTCAGTGGCCGCATCCGCAATGGCAGCGTGTACAGCGCACACAGCACGAACTCCTTAAATACGCCCCAGCCCTACTTGCAGCCCTCCCCTATGTCCTCCAACCCAAGTATTAGTGGCAGCGATGTCATGAGACCCGACTACATCCCATCCCATCGGCACAGCGCCCTGATCCCCCCGTCTTACCGCCCCACCCCCGACTATGAGACTGTGATGAAGCAGCTCAACAGAGGCATGGTGCACGCAGACAGGCACAGTCACTCTCTGAGGAATCTCAACATTGGCAGTTCCTACGCCTACAGCAGGCCCGATGCCTTGGTCTACAGCCAGCCTGAGATTCGGGAGCATGCACACCTTACCTCCCCCCAGTCGGCTCACTACCCGTTTAACTTGAACTACAGTTTCCACAGTCAGTCTCCGTACCCCTACCCAGCTGAGAGGCGACCGGTGGTGGGTGCTGTCAGTGTGCCCGAGCTGACAAATGTGCAGCTCCAGGCCCAGGACTACCCAGCTCCAAACATTATGAGAACCCAGGTCTACCGGCCGCCCCCGCCGTACCCATACCCGAGGCCCGCCAACAGCACCCCAGACCTGTCCCGTCACCTCTACATCAGCAGCAGCAACCCGGATCTTATCACCAGGCGCGTCCACCACTCGGTGCAGACCTTCCAGGAGGACAGCTTGCCAGTGGCGCACTCTCTGCAGGAGGTCAGCGAGCCCCTCACAGCAGCTCGGCATGCCCATCTACAGAAGAGGAACAGTATTGAAATTGCGGGGCTCACACACGGCTTCGAAGGCCTGAGGCTCAAGGAGAGGACCATGTCTGCGTCGGCGGCAGACGTGGCTCCACGGACTTTCTCAGCGGGCTCCCAGTCCAGTGTCTTCTCTGACAGAACAAAGCAAGAGGAGAGTGAAGAACAGGACAGTGACAGGTACAGCCACAAGAAGTCCCTTTCTGATGCCACCATGCTGATACACAGCAGCGAGGAGGAAGAGGACTTGGATGAGGACCACAGCAGAGCACACACTGTCTCAGCTGTGTCTGAGCCCCGCCTGACCGCCACTTACTCTCAGGAGCAACAGCTGAGCTACCCCTGTGCTTCGGTGACCACAGTCCCCGGCCCTCTGCATATCCTTGAGCCCAAGTCCCATTTTACGGAGCCTGAGAAGAGGGTGAAGGACATCAGCCCTGTCCACCTGCTGGTGGAGACCCATCGGCCCCGGAGAGATGGGCTGCTGACCCCCTCCATGTCGGAGTCTGACCTCACCACTTCAGGGAGGTACCGAGTGAGGAGGGACTCTCTCAAGAAAAGGCCAGTGTCAGATCTCCTCTCTGGGAAGAAGAACATCGTGGAAGGACTTCCACCACTCGGGGTAAGCTGGTGCAGGAGCAGAGGTGCCTCAGACAGGGAGGACAGACCCTTAATATTTGTTTTCAACCTTTAACTACTCTGTCTGCTCTTCCCTCGGTACCCGCCGTTTCTCAGCTCTTTACTTTTTCTCTTACCTGTCAGCTTGACCTCGGCTCTGATTTTTGCCTTGTTTGGGGCATGTGTGGGTTTATGTTGATTGAGGAGGGTGGTAGTGGTCTTGCCAGAGTAAACTGGGTGCAGAGAAAAGGCCGAAGGAAGGGGGTGGGGGGAGTCCACAAGCTGTATTAGTAAAGTATTGAGGGAAAGGGGGACAATTCATTACTCCAGCCAAGACTGCTTTGCTGACTGCCCATTAAAATACTGTGGGGGGTGACAAGGCACCTCAGAACAGCATCTGCTCTTTTTGTTCAAGTGATGTCCTGAGAGAGGCAGCTGAGACTGTGTCCCTAAGTCTGTGTAGTTGTCAAGGTTTGAGACTGGATCCAGCATGACTATCTTGGCCATGACCTCTGTAGGCTGGACCCTGGGACTCAGGAAAGCCAGTCAGTCTCTTTACGAGAATGAGAGTGAACATTCAAAAGACGACCCTTGTGGACCTGGCAGCAATTCGTTCCTCAGTCTAATAAGCATGGGAAGCACTTCCTACACAGAACAAACTGTAAGAGGCCAGTGCTGTTCTCTGTAGCTGTCTTTTTCAGAACATTTACCACGTGTAGAGATTTCATCTTTGCTGCATTCAGTTTATAATGAGCCATTGTTATTGGTCTGTTTCACAGATGAAGCTGACTCAGAAATATTAAATATTAAGTAGCTTTCCCAAGGTCATACAACTAGTGAGTGACTGACCGGGAACTTTGAGCTTTAGTCTTCTCTATACCAGCCCGTTTGCTTCCGCTGTATTCTGTGTCCAGGTGTACTCCATGTAGCATTTTACTGAGTAGTAATCACCTGCTAAAGCCTGGCTACTCTGTGCCGAATCATTTTTGAATCCTCAGCCTTTGGCTAAGCATTTTTGGTCCTGTTTGGAAGTGTGTCCCCTCATAGTCACCATGTGGCATTGCTCAGGGATCAGCTCTGTATGACCCTCACCTCCTTGTCCCATGACCTGCCCTGGAACCACGTCAGCCAGGATTCTTCTTCCCCATCTCTGTTAGGATGACCCAGAGATTGAGGAGCTACTGCAAGTATCCTTCCGGCTTAGTGAATGAGGACCTCAAAGTGATGCAGGCCGCCGGGCAGGCTGGGAAACTCAGAGTATCACAATGCTATGAAAGATCAGTACAGATAGGAAAACAGCCTAAGGAAGGGCACAGACTTAAGGGTGTTTACTTAGTTAAAGGATTGAATTTTAAGTTCAGCTTTATTTTTTCCTGAGTTTACGAAGGCCGGTGCTCAAGCGAACCATGGTAGAGGGTACAGGCTGAGCAGTATTAGGGCAGTGATAGTGTGGGGATTTCCACGGTCACTTCCTGAGTCCCCAAGCCAGCAGGATGGGGCCCTTCATGACAATGCAGTAAGAACTGCCTGCTGTTTTTACGTGGAGCACAAGTACTCCAAATGACACTCACATTAAGGACAGTCCCCTTTAATTCTCTAACCTACCGAGAACTGAAGAGCCCAAACCCTCCAAAACCTCTGACCTCTTCCAGGTACACAGTTTGCCATCATCCTCTGCAACTGTTCAGCAAGTCAAGGTGAGAGAAGTTTAGTATATTTTGATGGGGTCTGACAAGTTCCACTTACACTGAGGGCTTTGATCTAGTTGCTTCTCTTTAAACACAAATTTTCTTTCTCATTATTGTTTAAAACTTTTTAGTGAAGTTGTACATTTGGACTGTCTTTTAGCCTCTTCCTTTTTGCATAGGGATTTTCCCTGAGGATATGCATGGATTCTGTGGTTAAGAGGAAACATACAGGTCCTAGCAGTGGACTGCTTGTGTCTGAGTGTAGGCCCTGCTGTGTATTGTAGTTCATCAGTGGGAAGGACCCTTTATGCATCCATCTCCAGCTTCCATCTTCATAACCAGGACAGTTGTCTCCTCTCTGTCCATCTAAGTCTCACTGCAGTTAGGCCTGGAAGTCTACCTTCTGCAGTAAATGCTTCTATGTAACTGGTTTTAATGAAAGATTTGTTTTTTATTGTTTGACACTGATGCCTTTATGACAGTGGCAGCTAGTGACCCTGAACAAACTATTTAGTCCCTCCATGTTCCAGTTTTCTCATTTGTAAATGAGATGACCTCAGAGTTCCTGGGGACTAAAATAAACCTTCAAAGCATCAAAAGTGCTCTGCCAATATTTACTCGTGGCTTTATGTGGCATCACAAGTTTAGTTTCCCAACTTCCCACGCACTGAGGAGGCTAACCCCTTTCTAACACCTCTGACCCCTTCAAGGTGTCACTGTCACTGTCATCAGACAACACTAAATGGAGCTAAAGTTAAAAAACAAAACAAAAAAACAGTGAGTAAATAGCAGACAAGGAGGACCCATTTAGAATTCTCCACCCATGGCCTCCACCTCCAGGAACTAGATTGTTATCTCCAAGGCAGACTGGTTTGGGTGCTCACACATCCACGTAAGGAGTCTCTCTTCGATGCATCCTTTAGGCCTGTGCAGTGTGGTTCTCACCCAAGAAGCCCTGCAGATTTGAAAGCCATGGGCCTGGTAAGGAATATTGCAGCTGGTCTGGAGCCACCTTCATCTGGCTTGTCAATGGGGGGGGGG